TTTAAATTTCAGGAATAAAGTCCTAGCAATACAAGAATTAAGTCTGAATATTTTGAGAAAAAAGTTTAAATTTCAGGAATAAAGTCCTAGCAATACAAGAATTAAGTCTGAATATTTTGAGAAAAAAGTTTAAATTTCAGGAATAAAGTCCTAGCAATACAAGAATAATGCCGAAATATTTTGAGAAAAAAGTTAAAATTACAGGAATAAAGTCCTAGCAATACAAGAATAAAGTCGGAATATTTTGAGAAAAAAAGTTAAAATTACAGGAATAAAGTCCTAGCAATACAAGAATAAAGATGGAATATTTTGAGAATAAAATCTAAATTATGAGAATAAAGTTGAAATACGACTTTAATCTTGTAATCTTAGATTTTTTATTTTTTTAACGAGGCACTAAAACTCTATCGTACATAATAATGCTTCCACCAATAAAAAAGTATATTTGTTTGGAAAAATGTGCTTGATCTGTGCATATTTCTGATTCAGACAAGATGACCTTTTCACTGGAGAAAGCTATATTATGGATTATGGACTTGAATTTTGTAGTTTTTAAAATGTCTTGATGTTTTGTTTCTTACAAACACACAGCTGTTCGGTTCACAAGACATTAACTGATGGACTGGAGTGGTGTGGATTACTTGTAGAGTATTGTGATGTTTTTATCAGCTGTTTGGACTCTCATTCTGACGGCACCCATTCACTGCAGAGCATCCACTGGTGAGCAAGTGATGCAATGCTACATTTCTCCAAATCTGATGAAGAAACAACCATTTTCAGCTAATTTTTATTTATGGGTGACCAATTCCATTAATGTCACACCAATAAGATATGCATGCAACCAATAGTCTAAAATAACCATTTAAAAAAAACATTTAGAAATTCAGTACTGCTAACTTTAATTCACTATGTGATTGACAAACTACATACCCCTCCCACATAAACAAAACAGTTTGATTGACAGACAGCCTGACACCACCTATGCTCATGATAATGGCCTAGCGACTCGCCACCCCCAGTCTTTCTGACAGATATTAAGGCGACTTTGATTGTGTTGATTAATTGACAGGCTTCCTAGATGCTCTCCCACAAGCTGGCATTTGATTAACTGTAGTTTTGTCTCCAGGTAAGTTATCAAGCTTCATGTTATGAGAAAAATGAGGTGGATGTTGTATTAGGACTGACATGTTTATATTAGGGACCGTCTTTCTACTCTTATTTCTGTCAATGTGCATTAATCACTTGCCCTTCAAGGAGAACGGCAACAATTATCATGATTTGTTTTTTATTATGGTCACAAATTGTTTGACATGTTCAACTTGTCACGTCTGAACGATTACTCTTAATGTACTTTCTGTATTTTATGAGGAATTTGAAACGGTTTGTACAGACAAACAGAATAAATCAACTGCAGTGTCTCCAACGTAGGTCATAATTAACCTCAAGTCAAAATAAAGCCTATTTTTAAGTCCATTTAAATATTTTTGCATCGTGACATTTTCTACATCAGAACTCCCACAACTCTGTAGGCGACTACTACAAAACCAAAAATAGAAAAAAAAAGTGAAGTACATTTTTAAAGTACAACTGTAGCTATATATTGTGGTAGTATGTGCTGTAATACTGATTATTTAGTAATTTAAAACAATAAATAAACAAAAGATAAGTAAATATTGTATGGCAGGGTGCATGAATATAAGAGGATTAATACTTTGAAATATTCTCGACGGTGTAAAGATGATTAAAAACTCAATCTCACCGACAGCATATGCAGCCACGAGGAAACCAGCAGATCCTGCAAGAACCTGGAAACCCTGCGATCTGGTTTTCTGCACAATCAGAGCTATTCTGGAGATCTGTCAATTATCAAATATTAAAGTGTTTTAAGGTGATAAAAGGGAGTGAAAAAAAAGAGACAGAAATATAAAAAAGGGAGTGAAAAAAAAGAGACAGAAATATAACGGAGACTGTGAACAGGAAAAAAAACTGAAATACAATTATTATGCCTGATTTTACACCTAATTTGGTAAGTAGGCAGTTTATAATAGCACAAAGCCTATAACTTTGAATACAGTGGTTACTTTTTAACAAAAAGTAACAATGTCCATAGAAAATAATCAGACTTCAAGTGATCGAAAGAGAGAGTCAAATCTATTTTCCCTTGAATTTTGTTTCCGCTCACTTGTATGTCTAAAAGCATTTCAAATGAAAAGCAGCTCATGGAGAAAAACAAAGGAGATCAGCAGAATTCAAACTGTCAAAGGTCAATAGCAGAATAAAAGGAAAAATAAAGGACAGAAATACTTAATGCATTCATGAAACAATGAATGATACAAAAAAGAAATACATTTTCAATTGTAATCTTGTAAAATTGTAGTCTTTCATATTTATATATTACTTATATGTTATTCTTATATATATGTATATATATTAGTGCTGTCAAAACGATTAATCGTGATTAATCGCATCCAAATAAAAGGTTTTGTTTACATAAAATATCTGTGTGTGCTGTGTATATTTATTATGTATATATAAATACACACCCATGCATGTATATATTTAAGAAAAATGTTATGTTTATATATTAATTATATTTCTATATGATATAATTTATATGAATATAAATATATACATGCAAATACATGTAAATATTTTCAAAATATATGCTGTATGTGTGTGTCTTTATACATACATAATAAATATACACAGCACGCACACATATATTATGTAAACAAAAACTTTTATTTTGAAAGCGATTAATTGCGATTAATCGTTTGACAGCGCTAATATAAATATGAAGAGTTAATTTGCAAAAACAGATAACTCCGTTTTTAACAATTCTTAGGAATCATGCTTTTTCATTGTGCATTCCAATTAATCTCAATCAAACTGCAGTTGGGTTATTTTGATTAAGCTAAAAAATAACTAGAACAAAACACTAACACAATAAAACACAATAAAAACATGATTTTTGAAAATTAAAAAAACAAAACGGAGTTATCTGTTTTTGCATATAAACTCTTCAAATATATATATATGTAAATCGCTCCATTAAATATGTATTATGGCAGCTCTTACATCTCCACCACTGTCTTTGAGGCCGACAATATTTGGATGCTGGGAAAGTTGGATTATTGCATCCACAGGCAGGTCGAGACCCGTGTTTGCTGGCACGCTGTACAACACAACTGGCACTGAACTGGAATCTGCCACCTTGGAATCGAGGAAAACAACGACGCATTTGAATGAGACAAAGTGTGAACCACAGTTTAACTAAGTAAAATGCAAATGAGTGCAACGATATGCATAATGTCCACAGTTCCATTTGAACACAATGGAGAGAACAGTCTTTGATTAAATACCAAAATACAATTACTCAAGACTACCTTAGCGTAGTGGTTTATAAGAGCTCGGCTATCCATTCGACCGCGGTAAAAGCAAGGTGTTACCACTAACAAACAGTCAGCCCCGGCATCTGCCATTTGCTGGCTCATTTGGATCGTGGCTCTGGTGGCTACAAGAACAGACATAAGTGATCTAGAGTGTAAATGTCATCTGGTATATATCAATAAATACCCAAGAGAGACGTACATTCACAGCCAGATCCAGCCATGAGTAACTTGTCTTTTGGCAGCGCCTGTTTGACTCTCTTCACCACCTCAACCCTCTCCTCCGGTGTCAGGTATGGATATTCCCCATTAGAGCCCTGCACAACCAGACCTGCCAGTGCAATAAACAGTGAGTCGTACAAATAGATTTTAGGATGAGGAAAAATATTGAGATGGCATTTTCAATACGTCCACTAGGTGAAAAGCGGACTTTAACCTTAACGGCACGAGGTTTATCATCTGTTAACTACTGTCAGCATAAAGCTGGGTCACACAAAATTACAATACATAGCCTATAGCACATATTAAATGTTGTAGGTGTTACATTCATCATAACATGTCTTTGTGTTTTCTGCTGCATACACTGATAGCACACGAACATCACCGAGACGTCTATTTGACGTCTGCAAGACGTATTTTTTAGAGTGTTTGCTCGTCTACAATACGTCTATTGGACGTTTCCTATCAGATGTCTATTAGATGTCTTTAAGATGTTTATGATTTATGTAAAACTTACATCTTACAGACGTCTGTCAGAGGTTTGTACACCGCAGATGCTTTCCAGATCAAGCGATCTTTAACAGACATCTTGCAGACGTACTTGTGCTATCTGGGTAATGTATGGTGCGTTTGTCAAAAAATGAAACAACCCACCTCTGAAAGGTAAGTTGCCGTACTTCTTAAGATTGTCATCAAGTCTTTGGTAATCCACATCTTCACTCTGAGTGAATGGAGTGGCAATGGGAGGATAAATCCCCCTTATATCCAGCCTCTTCGCAGCACTTTGACTTTTATTTCTCCATGTTGAAGCAGCTGATCCTCTGCACAGAAGACTGAAGCTTCTTCGTGTTGCAAACATGCCGCTGGGTGTGATCCGTCTGTAGAAAAGAAAACAGATGTGGTTAAAGGAAAATGTGAACTCTGGTATATTCTAAAGCTGCCATGCAGTTAATAATCAACACACTTATCAACTCTAAATGCTGACAACGTTTGGGAAAACATTTGGGGAGGCTTGTTGTTATAAACAGCCGTTTACGAACCTCTTTTAGGCAAAAATCTCAAATGAACTGGCTAAATAAATAAGTGATTCCCGTGACATAACGCATATAAAATGTAGCTGAGACAACTTTGTTTTGCATACCTGCAGATGTTCAACCAGTCTCGCAGAAGCATAGAAGTCTTACTCTATCAGAGACCTTGACAAGTACTGTCACAACTCAATGTAGAAGTATTAATAGTGTTTATTGTTATTCTAGCGTGCTGTCACTTATAAATAATTGTTTTGAGATATGTCAACAGCACTTGCGCGACTTGTTAGGTTCTCCTTTAAAGCGCACTATTCTGCTTCCGGGAGTAAAAATCCCTTTCATTATCTCCTTAAGGGAATTCACTTTGAAATACAAAATTTAACAGATGTACCATGAGCTTCGAGGTTGTTTATAAATTACATATACTTTAGCTAAAGCAGTCATTCCACGTTATATGATTTAATACCACGTTTAACAGCGCTATTTCTGATAAAGAACTACATTACCTATAATCCTACAGAGACATGTCGACCAATCACAGAATCGGAGCTTTGCCGTGCTCCGCCCACTCTTAAAGCACTGCGAACGCCGTAAATCGAGTCGGTATCCCTAAACTACTTCTATATTTTATAAATCTGGTTATTTAAAAAGTATGTCAGTTTGTCTGTGTGTGTATATATATATATATATATATGGACCACAAAACCAATTATAAGGGTCAATTTTTCGAAATTGAGATTTATACATCATCTGAAAGCCGAGTAAACAAGCTCTCCATTGATGTATGGTTTGTTAGGATAGGACTGTATTTGGCTGAAATACAAGTATTTGAAAATCTGGAATCTGAGGGTGCAAAAAAATCGAAATATTGAGAAAATCATCTTTAAAGTTGTCCAAATGAAGTTCTTAGCAATGCATATTACTATATACTGTATATTAGGGTGACCATACGTGCCATTTTCCCAGAACGTGTCCTGGCCAGGATTTCTATATTGCCTAAAATATCTAGGTTTTGGCTTTGTTTGCGTGTGCAGACCGATCGGTGTTTGACATCAAAATACCTCGAGAGCATTTTGAAAGCATGAGGAACCATCAGTATGGTACTTTGATGTCATACACCGATCGGTCTGCACACGCAAACAAAGCCAAAACCTAGATATTTTAGGCAATATAGAAATAGGTGTGTTTGATTAGGGTTGGAGCTAAACTCTGAGAAACCCATGGTTTAATGTTTACGGCCGTTTTTATACGTTGTTCACAATGCTTCATGGGAGTATGGATATGGGAATTTTTCTTTTTGCCTGATTTCAAACACTTTTTACTTCAAATAAAAGTGTGTGATGATATGATTCACCGTCATATACAGTATAACTGTAATGAACACTTCTTGAACCAAGGCTGAAAAAGTGGGCCAGTACTTGTCGGCTAAATGTTTTAATTCATAAGCATTAATATTCATAAATTATGATTCCCCCTAGTGGTTGTATATCATAGTATAAAAAATAATAGTTAAAAAAAATTCTGGTTCAAGAAAAGGTAAGTTATTATAGGGTATGAATACAAAAAATTGTTTAGTGTGTACTTATATAATTAAAACATGTTTTTCAGTTCTTCCAAACAGGTCACAATTAATCAACCTTGCACACAAAATACGGATGAATCAGCAGATGTCAAGGTCTTTTTGCTGCTTCTTTCTGACAAAGTATTGATAACTGATGCTTGTAGTCAAGATAATGTTTTTTAGTTAATTCCTGAAATCGTAAAATCTGTACACTTTTTCCGCCCTACCAATGCAAACCTTTCTGACATTATCCATGCACTTTTGCTTCTGGTTGTATGGTTCCTCATTGATATAAACCTGGGGCCTGACATGAATTCATAAATCAAACATTCACAGATTATGCACGCTAACTCCTGTATTGTGTCTGTGGGAGTGCAGGAGGTTATATACAGCCCATCATAGCTGGCACAGAAATTCAGTGGATTCACTCGATTTATTTACATCAACAGAATATCAATCACATTTACAAATAAAAACAATAATAAATATAAAAATAATTTCATCAGGTAAACGTGGATACAGTGTCACATGCAAGTGAGGACAACTTAATATTAAATAGACTAAAATAATCAAACCTGTGCCTTTATGCAAAACGAAACAAAAACATTTACTCATATACTCAACTCTCACACATCCAAAGCACACACTTTGATGTTCTTACAATTCTTTAAAGATCACAAGAATATCACTATAACATTTCTTTGTACATTTTTAGAATACTATCCTGTATACTATTTCCAAATCTTCTATGCATTATGTTGCATTCTGTTAAGTAACATGTTTGTTTAAACAAAAGTTGAATCACTTTTTCAGTGTGTAATGTTGCAACTTGTTTCGTCACACAAATGGTGTTCTCTTGGAGTCGATCCTTCACTATTTTGTGGGTATTACTGATTATAATAGTGACATTTAAAAGAAAAAAGCCTGATGAGATTCAGAATCTTTGACACCTGCAAGACACGAGAATGAATCATAAACATCTCAATCATTATTGAATCCTCATAAATCCAGTTTTCATTAAATAATCTGATATGAACACCAGTTTACCTCCATCTACTCCCAGAAGTAGCGCAGATACCATATGGTCTCATTTTTAAGCTGAGGTCCAAATAGAGGATTTGCTTGAGCTAGTATCGCTACTAACCAGCTGTAATGGATATAAATACAGTAGTGAATATTCCAAATAAACTGTATATTACTTCATACATTTAAGTGATTTATAGCATCAACAAACAAATAACAGCAAAAATGCACTGTAAACATTGTAAACAGCGAATTTGTAAAGGTGATATCATACACTACCATGGAAGTTTATTTTTTATTTCAATTACCCAAAACATGAATAACAAAATTGAGTATTTTGCAACTTATGTGGCAGTATTTTCCCAAAATGTTTAATTATACTCACAATAAATAGCAGCAAACAGCGGTGAGCACCAAACTGGTTATGATTACCCTGTAATAATTGAACAGTTAAATCAAAAATAAACGCTAATGCAACACAGAATAACATTGCAATAACATTTAAACAACACAGGCTGTACTGTAGAAGAACGGATGCGTTTAAAGATCGATGAATGAATGAATCGCTTGGCCTTTATTCCAGCAGCAGTCCTCACCCTCTGTTTGGTCCTTTCGGTACAAAAAACGGGGCCACAATCCCGACCAGACCCCACAGCGTGGTGAAACAGATCATCGGTAAAGCCAGCGAGTGCGACACCATTGCGACACTTGTGCGTTATTCTAGACAGTATAATATGAAGATATCAGCATCCAGTTCAATACAGCGCGATCTCTCACTAATCCTTCGCTCACGCCCACCTGCTCCTGATTGGACCGTTGCTATTCTGAGTCTCTTCGCTATTGGTAGAATGGAGCTGTCACTCAAACCGAGCCCCTTCTCGTTACATTGACGCAATAATACATCTATTATAGCTTAAACTGCAACCACTATATAAGTTTGTGTCTTGACATGGATGTCAATAAATACAATTAGTTGAATATGAATTCTAAATATCTTAATTAGTCATCAGTTACTATTAAAGCAATGGATTATTTCTAGTGAAAACCTGTAATTATTGATAAGATACTTCCACTACTAATTCTGCTGTAATTATGTTAAAGCAGTTTGTTTTAAACCAATTTACTGTGATTAATTTTGTGATTCCAGAAAGTTGGTCCTCAATAAAACCAACTAGCCTATTGTTGAGAGCATTATTATGATTAATATCTTTTTAAGTGTATTTATCCTGTTTTATATAGTTTATAATTGTATCTTTCCTCTTTATTTTATAAGTTATTTTAGCATAACTTGAACATGTCAATGTAATTCGTCTTGGGGCGCTCTGCATGTGAACAGCTGGTCTATAGTGAGCAGCATGTGTGGATCACTGCAGCCATCTACTGGACAAATCATGAAAATATTTATTTCCCCCAGAATAAAATAACAACGTGTATTTATGTAAAATTACAAAAGAAGTGCAAAAGTTGTGCTAATTACTTTAGGTAATTTTCCTGCTCCTCATTACATACTGTTGAAGTCAAACGTTTACATACACCTTGCAGAATCTGCACAATGTTAATAATTTGACCAGAATAAGAGGGATCATACAAAATGCATGTTATTGTTTACTTAGTACTGACCTGAATAAGATAGTTCACATAAAAGATGTTTGCATATAGTCCACAAGAGAAAATAATAGATGAATTTATAAAAATGCTCCAGAAGGAAAAACCATGCATTAACAGCCAGGGGGTGAAACCAGGGTAACCAGGGTGAAAATCAGGGTAAATGTAACTTATTTTGTCTTCTGGGACACATGAAAGTATCTTCTGTAGCTTCTGAGGGCAGTACTAAATGAAAAAAAAAGAAGATATTTAGGCAAAATAAGAAAAATGTACACATCTTCATTCTGTTAAAAAGTTTTCTCCCCCCTTATTTTAGTAAAATGGTTAACATTTTGCAGATTCTGCAAGGTGTATGTAAACTTTTGACTTCAACTGTATGTGTTCCCGGGGGAGCCCAAAATTCAGAGTCTCCAATATTGTCGATGTACAGTTTTATACGGTTAACAAAACCATAAAATATTTTGTTGTAATACTTGCAGAATGTAAACTTTGGTAAAAATATGAGTAAATAAAAGCTTTGTTCGTCATCTTCAGAACAATCAGTTAAGTTCATTCTAGCGTAAAAGTGAAAGAGGTCTTGATTACCTGATTTTTTCAACTTTACATAGTTCATCCAAAGATCACCGGCATTGTTGCACCCAATTCTAATCTATAACCCGCTGAGCAATTGTCCATCTTAACTATATAGTACACGTACATCATGGAGACGTCTTTTTGACGACTGCAAGACATATTTTTTAGAGTGTTTGCTCATCTGCAATACGTCTATTGGACGTTTCCTATCAGATGTCAAATATACATTTATTAGATGTCTTTAAGATGTTTATGGTTTAGGATGTATGTAAAACTGACATATTACAGACGTCTGTCAGATGTTTGTACACAGACAATGCTTTCCAGCTCAAGCGATCTTTAACAGTATAACAGTGTGCTAGGCCTAATTCACATGTGACCAGTTAAAAGCTTTTACAGCCTTATAATAGGTTTTGGTTTGTTTGTTTACCATTGAACACTGGATTACCCTACTGTATGATCATGAATATGTCTGGCTAGTAAAATGTTCACACTTCTCATCTTGTTTACACCTCTGATGGAACTACAGTACATCTCTCAACCTGTGGTTATAGCAGAGCTTCTTGGTAGTATGACACGCAGACCTAAAATAGACCATGTACTTGAGCAAAACAACCAAGCTAACATGTATTGCAATCTATATCTTTCATTCCATACACAAATTTTATTCTACGACTTTTTAGTTTGTTAGGAGAATTTAAGGTAGTTTTTAAGGAGTGTGTATGTACATATGTGCTCTAGTACCATTGGTGTACTTACTTTTAGTGACTAGTTAGTTCCCAGCTAACAATTGTTGGTTCCCAGAACGTTCTGGAAAGGTTCTTTGTTATAAAATTTTATCTAAAAATAACCTACAGGGAACGTTCTTTTTCGTTTATTAAAAAAAAGAACCTACAGGGAATGTTCCTAGAACGTTCTTATTTGGTTCCTAAAATAAATAAATGGGAACCCTATGGGAATGTTAGGGGAACATTGTGTGTTTGTTGGGTTTCTCCAACAATGCATCGTACTGCACTGGTGTTCTGGAAACGCAGCACTGAGCATTAAATATGTCACAAACCTTCCCAGTAAAGGGCACTCACAACTCATAAACTATAATGTCTGGAGTCCAGAGAACTTTGACTGGAAGCCATCACACAGGTCTGGATCCCAAATGAGGAACTCAAGGAAACAGCACTATAAAGAAACAGGATTGAGCAGGACTGTGGCATGCTCAGGTGATTATTCAAAGTACAACTGATTTGCAACAGTATCTTTGTCTCATGCAAATCCTTTGAACTTTGTCTCAGTATGTGCTAAATAGAAGGAGGCTTCACTATCGGGGATTTGTTGTGTCATGCTGCGCCGCATCCAGAGTAGACAGCATCACTGATTATAATAGCGGACTTTGCTAACTAGCACATTAAAGGCGATTCGTAAAGATTCATAAAAAAATGGCAATGCTTTAGATTACAACTTGCAATGAACCGTGTGATTAAACAGAATTTATAGCGTACCTATTTGTAAATATAGAGTAGGCTACCTCCACAGTACCTACTCGTAGGTGTAAGCGAACAATATGCAACGTTTGGGGAATAAGGTGGAGACGAATTGTTGAATAAAGTCGTTATTTTTTTGTCTTTTGAGCACAAAAAGTATTCTCGTAGCTTCCTATAATTGCAGTTGAACCACTGATGTCACATGGATTATTTTAACGATGTCCTTGCTACGTTTCTGGACTTGGGAACATTTCAGTTGCATTGCTGTCTATGCAGCAAAAGCTAGGTTTTGCGTATGCTCAGAAGTTTTCAGATTTATGAAACCATGCATACGCCAGAACCTGAGCAAAAAATCCTTTTATAAATCCCAGTCAGGGGAAGATTGTGCGCACGTGCACCTCCCCCCGACTCCTCCCCGAAATCACCATATATGGAGCTTACAACGCCTTGTTGCCTATTCTTCAAATACAGCGGTACTTTTCATAATATCGTAGAGCTGCCTTCACACGACATCAACACCTCTGTGCAGCTGCGGTTGTACAGTAGCCTGTAGATATTATCATTGGTCCTATTCAATCCGGATAATGGACCGTTCGACCACCGAATCCAGCAGTGTCCTCCATAATATTGAAGTAAGTGCACATCATTGATCATTGTTTGTTGATCAAATCCGAACTTCTGCGTAGGAAGTGGCGTACGCCTCTTTCAGGGCTGGTTTTGTGCGTACGTAACAGTTATAAATGAGGCCCCTGGACATTTCTTTCTGTTACGCATAAATGTTAATGTGGTCAATAATTTGTTGTTTTATTCATAATTTACAGTTTTATTATTCATATTAATGATATTACATTACATGTTACATTACATGTTTATTATGATATTACTTATATTAAAATTAATTATCAATATTAACATTATTATTATTATTATTATTATTATATAAATTATATATACACTTTTTAAATAAATTTTTTGATATTTCATTAATATTTTTAGTTTTTTTTTCAGTTTAGATGGGAAATATTATTAATGTAATTATTAAGAATATTCATAATATTATTACTTAATATATTAATATTTAACCGGTTTTGTTTTGATTAAAGCTGCAGTCCGTAACTTTTTTTGGTTAAAAATGATCCGAAATCAATATTTGAGCAAATACATAACCAGCCAGTGTTCAAAACTATCGCCTTACTCTAGCCCGGTTCACAACGGTTAGCTTATAATAATGTTTTCTAATTTGAGTGGTAAGATTTGTATTTTAAAGACAACCAATTCGAAGGGAGCATAATTTGCCAATTTGCAAATTTGATAATTCATAATTTGATTAGACTGTACAGAAATTGAAATCTACTCGCTAATACACACTATACTCATAGTCACCAATGCTGATGTTGTTAACATTAACAATTTGAGAATAAAGTATAACAATAATAATAATTTGCACGGTTTGATGTGATACGAGCTAATTTAGATTAAATCACCATTGGTAGCGAGATTTATGGTAATGCTTTTTCCCTCAGTTGGTCAGAACAAACGTGGCAGACTTGTTACTTGTTCAGATGACAATATCCGGTGAAAATGCTTATTTGTGTCATATTCCAAGACGTAGGCGAGAATCTGTGATTGTGAAGTACAGTAAATATCCACACCGGTGCGGTGACTGACTGCCACACACACATACTCTTCAGAACATTAGATTCATCCGCGCTGGACCCGTGCCGACTTACAACCCACGCAAGGAAGATAATTCCACAAACAGCTGCAATTCCAGGTTTTCAAACAGAGATGGCGACAAAGAGGCAAAACTTACGGTTTAATTAGCTTAGCTTTAATTAAAAAAACTGTTCATAAAGAACTGATTCTTAGAACTTATTTTATATACATAAAAAAACACCATGTGTATTCATAATTTGCTCTTGTAGCCCCACACTACTACAAATCTAATGCAACCTCTAGTTTAATGAAAACCAATGTCTTTATGTCTCGCTTACAGCGATAGATGTGACGTATCTTCCCGCCGCCTCCGCAGACGGACACTTGCTGCTAGCAATCTGAGAGACTGACATTTAAATAGTAGTCAAATGTACTTAAAAATGATTGTTTTGGTCTCTTGATCAGTTTTATTCATTAAAATGAGCTAAAATAACACGATTTTCTTTAAATGCTGCCTGCTGTCATTATACGGTATGAAAGCGGCCTCTAGAGGCAGAATCACT